GAACCAGCACACTGAGCTTCCTAAAGGATCTGAAACACCGCCCGCCAGGCAGCAGCACGACGGGCTGCGCAGAGGCTGCGGGCACCCCCCCAGCTCCGGGCAGAAAGAGCTCTGGCCACGGGAGCGCTTTAGGAGCAACACACGTAGTTAGCTGGTCTTGGATGCAGCAGAAACGGGTCGGGAGAGAGAGGTTTGAGGCACTGGGTCTGCACTCCTGGAGATGCTCCAGCCCCAGCGGGACACGGCCCGGGGTCACCGGCTGCGCTCGACGCTGCCGCGCAGGGGGCTGCACTAGCGGATCTCAGAGGTCTCTGTGTGAGCGGGGCTGGCCTGGGTGACACCCGGGGCCTTTCCAGGCACGTCCGTGCTGTGATTCTCACGAGGATGCCACCAAAGTGAAACACCGGGAGGGGACGGCCACCACAGCAGCACCAGCCGGGGAGCAGGACGGCGAGGAGAGCGCTCTGACAGCACGCAGAGAGCTCTGCACCCAGAAGAACACACGTTCGGGCACCTTTGAGGTTTTGCTGCGTGTTTAGACATTGGGGGGGTGGGAAGCACAGGTAGGGTTTTAGTAAGCGGATTCACACACGGGTCAAAGTGAAAGACGGTGCAGAGGTTGCAACGCTGAGAGGCAGATGGGAAGGCAGTATGTTTCCCACGGCAAAAGAGGAAGCAAGGGGAGGGTGTATAGTGAGAGATTAGGTGAAGTTCTATTTTAGCCCTTTTGGAGATCAACAGCCAAAACAAAACCATGTCAGGGAGACGTGTTGAGTCTTCAGGCTGGTCAAAGCAGATAAATCTGGAGATACAAAGAACATCTGTGAAACGGCAGCCGAGCGACGGCAGCCGCGTTTGTGCCTGTGCGGGAGAGCCGTGTCTGCCCGCGCGGCGAGGACAGGCTGCAGGAGGCAGCGTGCTGCACGGGTGCTGAAAAAGGCAGCGGGGCCGGGGACGCCGCAGAGCGGGGGCCGGGGAGCTGCGGGATGCGCACACTGCACGGGTGGGTGTTCGGGAACGCGCTGCGGCGCTGCGGGAGCGCCTGCGCGGGCCTCGCCGCCCTGCAGCTCTGCGTGCGGGACACGGGGGGCTGCTCGGGGACACCAGGGACGGGAGCGGAGGAGCTCTGCGTGCGGGACGCGGGGGGCTGCTCGGGGACACCAGGGACGGGAGCGGAGGAGCTCTGCGTGCAGGACACGGGGGGCTGCTCGGGGACACCAGGGACGGGAGCGGAGGAGCTCTGCGTGCCGGACCCGGGGGGCTGCTCGGGGACACCAGGGACGGGAGCGGAGGAGCTCTGTGTGCAGGACGGGGGGAAGCAGGGGCTGTGACAAGAGCTCAGGAAACAGCAGCGGGGAGGTGACATCGTTTATCAGTTTAGTCTTGGAATAAATTGACAAAGATCCAACATGCAGGGAAGCGAAGGCCAACAGGAAAGGATGATTTGGAGAGTGAGTCAAGGCTGCCAGAGCGGGATCCGCCAGCCGGGAGTGCGGCTGGGAAGCTGCCAGGCACCGGGAAAGACAAAACAGCTTCAAAGCAGGGGCCGTGCTGCGAGCGGAGCGGCTTGGCCAGCGATGTCTGCAGCGGGCGCGCGGGAACGCGGTCGCCACGGGCGGCTTTGGGGGAACCCACAGCAGCACAGCCCGTCACACCCCGGCACAGCAACAGCCACACAGCCCATCACACCCGCAGTACAACAGCCGCACAGCCCGTCACACCCCGGC